AGAGGTCCTCTACAATTTCAAGAACTGTATGAATCCTCTGGAGCTCACCTACGAACTGCCGGTCGAAAGATCATTACGATTCCTGGATCTTCGACTGTATGTGCTACCATATCACATCTGTTGGTCCTATGAGCCCAGGGGAAAGAAACCTCTTCTACCATTCAACTCTGCACATTCCAAGCTTGTAAAAAGAGGTATAGTGAGGTCATGCCTTAAGAACTCTATTAGCAAGTCATGCTTACATTCAATGCAGGCAAGCTTCGACGCTCAAGTATCAAGGCTAAGGTCCGCTGGATATCCTCTACAAATATTGGCGTCGGTAACCGAGGTTCTCCTCAGAGAAATCAAGCTCGGTAGCGCCGCAAAAATACCCAGAGACAGGACAACCAGACCGGTAGTCGTGCCATATATGCATAATCTATCGCATGGTCTAAAGAAAATAGCGAACAGAGTAAATGTGAATGTAGTTTTTTCAGCACCACACAAACTTCACAGCCTCTGCAAAAAAGTAAACACCTCCTCAATCAGCACCGTCAGCTGCGCAAAGAAACACAGATCCAACTTTGTCCCATGTGTTGAAGGGGTAGTCTATTCGTTTCCCCTTTCCTGTGGAAAAGAGTACATTGGACAGACGGGGCGGTGTTTAAACGACCGCCTGCGAGAGCACAACAACAACATTGCCAATGCCAACTCCGGTCACCTAGGTATTCATTGTAGGGATTGTGGCTGTTTTGCGCGACTGGACAACTGTGCTGTGTTAGGCAGGAGTAAAAACCAGCTCACCCGAGAAATTATAGAAGCGGAGAAAATTGCACGACGAGAAGCCCAGTGCGTTAGTACTCCGTCCTTAGCTTTATCGGAGAAAGAACTACATTATTTAGACAGAAGGTGTTTAAGACAATAAGCCAGTATAACCACTGATTTTTGTTTACATCTTATATTATTTAACAACTAATTTCTGTAACTCTTGGACTTGTTGCATCACTCAAACTATTTACGCCGAGAGTGTAGTCGACAGTAGGCCAGCATATCACCTGGTTTATACCTGTTCGTGATTAATTTTGTAATTATTTTTGTAATTTTTGTAACTCTTCGACTCTGGTCTATTAGTGTTATTCTTCCTTATTTTCCTTTTCTTTGGCTTCTATTCATCTCTTTTCCTTTTCTTTTTCTTTTGCCTTCCCCCCCTTTGCCTTGTCTTTCCCCTTTTCTTCCTTGGCAACCTATTCCTTGGGGTCGAAGAAGAGGAAGTTTGAAATACAATTCAGTTGATAGTTCAGCGCTGTGTGAGTGTATTTTTTTGTGTGTTTGGATTTTGGTTAACTTGTATCGGATTGGAAAAGCGGCCAGCCCTAATTGCCAACACTGTGACCAACAAAAGACAATTGAACACATATTTTTTCAGTGCGAACACTACGCATCCGAACGAATTGAATTCTTGAACTGCCTGAGAGGGCTGGACATTCCTTTCACGCTCGAAGCTACATTATTTCCGAAGGGACCAACTTCCACGTGCATACGGCTGAGAAAATTTGTGTTTTGTTTTTTGGGCGCGTGCGAACTACTCTCAAGACTGTGACTGTGACGTGTAAGAAACTTTAGAACGGTAGCCTATACTTCGTTTCGCCATATCTGCGGGCGGGGCCGGGGCTGAGAGCGCGGGACCAGCGCTTTTAGCGCTTCTCCCCAGCTCGCGTGCTCGAGCAAAGCCTGAGCGCGCGGAGCTTTCGTGCTCGCGCTTCCAGCTTTGCCTTCGCTCGCACGTGGGGTGAAGCGAAGTATAGTTAGATCGATATAAGTACTCTCATTATTTATTTTGTGCTTGCTGGTGCGCGATATGGGGTTCTGTCGTGTACAGCACTGTTTGAACATATGTCACAGTTCGTCTTAACAGCCCTAATCATTTTTTTTTCCGGCGAAACGTGTTTAGTCATTATTTTGCTAACGCTTCCCTCGTCATCCCCGGACCCCTTCATCACCATATTTTCCCTTTCCTTTCCCCGCATTCACCCTCATCAACCTACAATAACCCAGGCCCGTGAAACGTGCCCACCGTGAGTGAGGCAAATGTCACGTCTGGCAAACAATACAACCAACCAGCCAACCAACCAGCCATTCCGGGTGTTAGCATTTACCTTGATGATATAACCGTCAGCGGAACAACTCCAGATGAGCACGCGCGTCGGCTGGATGAGGTATTCTCACGATTGGAAAATACAGGGCTGAAGCGCAAACAAAGCAAGTGCTTCTTCGGCGTGAGGGAGTTGAAGTTCTTAGATCACCGCGTAAACGCCGAGGGAATTTATCTAACCCAGGACAAGATCCAAGCAGCAGTCGAAGCACCAGAACCAGAGAACAAGACGCAGTTACCGTCCTCTTTAGGCCTCCTGGCGTTTTACGACACGTTTTTAAAGGATCGCGCAAAAATTGCGAAGGAGCTGTACGAACTGCTTGAACAGAACAAAGAGTGTAGGTGGGAAGAAAAACACCGAAGGGCTTTCAAAAAGCTCAAATATCAGTGGCGAAGTACACCGCGCTCGCACACTATGATGAAAAGCCACCTCTAGTGTTTTCTTGGGACGCCTCACCATATGGAGTGGGAGCCGTACTTGCACAGCACGATGCTGATAGGCGGGAGGCCCCAATCACTTTAGCATCCAGAACGCTAGGCAGTACCGAGCGGAACTATTTTCAACTGGATCATGAAGGTCTCGCCATTGTCTACGGAGTTCACCACTTCCATCAACACATCGCTGGGAGGTCCATGATCATATTCACAGACCATCAACCTCTGCTAAGTATCATCGGCTTCAACAAGCCTGTTCCACAAGTATTTTCACCAAGGATGAATAGATGGTGCGTGAAGCTGACAGCGTACCACTACGACCTGAAAATCGTCACCAGAACGCAAATGCTCTTAATCGGCTTCCGTTGCCACACACAGAAGACGAACTGATTCAGCTGGCGACATCTTGATGTTTGAAGGCTTGCCACGGCCTCCTCTGTCAGCGCAGCAGGTAGCAGAAGTGACAGCAAAGGACACTGTGCTGGTTGAGGCGTTAGTAGCAATTCAGAAGGGCACTCTTCATCGGCTTAAATCACCAGAGTTAGCTCCTTACACACAAAAGGCGGCAGAACTGTCAACTCACTGAAATAGTGTGACATGTGGGCATGCATTATGATCCCCACGCGGCTGAGGACGGCCCCGTTGACGTTGATTGACGCGGGGCACAGTGGAATTGTCGCAATGGAGACATGCGCACGGAGCTACCTCTGGTGGCCCGGTATCGACGCAGACATAGAGTCATTCGTCGCAGAATGCAGTGCCTGCCAGACCCACCGCAAAACACCACCAATGGAGCCCATGCCAGTCTGGCACAGACCATCCCACCCTTGGGATACTATTCACGTGGACTTTGCGGGTCCTGTTAAAGGCCAAATTTTCCTGGTGTTCGTGGACGCCTACACTAAATGGGTGGAAGTCCGGGTGATGCGGAACATAACGACGGCTGCCGTCATTAGAGAATCGAGGGCTATCTTCGCAACTTTTGGCGTTCCCGGAAGGTGGTTTCAGACAACGGCACAGCGTTTGTGTCCGAAGACATCAAGATTTTCTACAAGAATAACGGTGTAATATCCATCACAAGCGCGCCATACCATCCAGCAACTAACGGCCAGGCTAAACGCATGGTTCAAGAGCTGAAAATGGCACCAGCTAAAAGAGAGAGAGAAGATCTGAATTGTGCGGTGGCCATATTCGTATTCAAACAACATAAGACAATCCATATGGCAACAGGAAAGACAGCTGCTTGGATACTTTTTGGAAGGGAACTTTCGTCGGCTTTCGGGCGGCTAAAGATGTTCAGCCCCGAAACACCTGAAAGCACTGCCACCCTTACAAATCCACAAAAGCTGAGTCTAGGTCAAGCAGTGTGGGTTAAAACATTTCCAGGCGGTAAAAAGTGGAAACCGGAAGTGATCGAACGCCAGCTGGGAAACCGCTCTTGGATGATTCGGGTAGAGCAAGGTTCAATTCACCGGCACACCGACCACATACGGCCGCGAAGAGTGGCATCGCATAATCAACCTCCACAGACAGCTGTGGCACCCGCATGGGACATTAACAGCCGTGACGACCTGGCTCCGCGACCCGCGACAACCATCAGGGACAACAGTACGACTGCGATTCCCGGGGAATTAGTATCTGTTCTGCCGCCGGCAGAGCGTGACATTTCAGGCACTCGAAGAAGTTCCCGAGACCGGCGACCACCTCAAAGACATGACGTCTAGTGGGGGGAGGTGTTATGTCCGGCATAACATGTCAAAAGAAGAAGACGCGCCTCGTGTTCTTCTGCCATAATCAGATAGTGCGCATGCCAGCGCATGCAGGCACATTCGCTCACGCCGCCATCAAGATCGGCAGTTGTGAGCGACCAGAATAAAGCAACTCGTTGTGCTTTCAGTAAGCGGCTCCTGATTACTTCGCACTTAACACCTTTCCAAAAAGGGCTCCTGGCCGGTTTCATTTTCAGTGGTCGTGAGTTATATGGCGCGTGATTTGCTCACTTTCCCAAGCGACGAACATGCGCGTGCTGGGCTGAGGAGATCGCACGCTGGGGTTAGGACTCGTAAACATTGTAATAGTGTATATATTTAACTCAGAGCAAATTGTTTGAATAAAACTTACTTGGCTGCTTTCGTGACGTGTCATTTGTACCTTTTGCGTCTTCCTTCTTGCATTCTATATTGTTTAAAGAAAATGAATTATTCCCTTTGATGGGTAGAATAGAGGCTACAGAACCTTGCGTTAGTGTAAATATTTTCAACCCTTTTTATCCTCATTGGCCGTAAACGTTTTGTCAGAATGTTTATTTTGTGAGTACATATATAGAATAAATAATTCATTTTGCCTTCTTTCGCATCTGTAGACTCCCAAGCCACAGATGCCAGATGTAGGTCAAGTTCACATGAATTAAACTAATATCTGCCTTTTCTCGCAGAGAGGAGATTAGGAATAAGACAACAAATCTTCCCATCGGTAAGCAGAAAAGTGTCAAGCGGGTATCGCTAGCGATTGCGTTCAAAATCAATTCTATCTCTTAATGACATGTCATAGAACAATTCCCCTCTTAATGTTTTAATGATAAAATTGCGTTTGTCAAATTGCTACTGGTTTAATCGCATAAGGACTTCGTTGCTTCACCCGCTGCTTCATCGGTTTTCATGCTTCCTGTGAGTGTTATTATTTGAGAAAGGATATAGGGACTAGACTAAAAGTTAATGCGTATACGACAATAGATAACTATGTCATGAGCAAAGGGTTGATGGTTTACGTGCGGAGGTAATGGTCCGAGAGGTAATTGTTCGATCATTGGCACTCGTGGTGTAAGAAATGTTTGAGGCACAGTCATGGGCAGTGTAAACTGAAACGATCGGGCAAGATACAAAAGATAACGGTGGCACCGCTCCGACACGAGAAGTCGAACTAGCAACGATTTTATTTCGTTCAAAGCGCACAATGTTTTAGGGATTGTGACCACTTGGACTCCCGTGCCTCTCGTTGATTACATATGTACCGTGAGCTGCCTACATAGTGCTGCTATACAAACGTTTAATGTACACTGAGATAATTGAAGAGTTATTTTTATCTTCCCATGTAATAAATCATTCAGATGTCCTTGAGAGGTATTAAACTTGAACTTGAAATTGAGATTTAGCATGTGAACGAGTGCGCAGGAGTATATTACTTCATTCAGCCTGATCGTGCTTCAAAACTGTGCGTCTCTGCTGCGCTCGTGCTACTACAGAGGTCGCTTTTAACGCTGAACAGCAAGAGGGTGTTGGGAACGCCACCCGTTCACAGTCTGAGGACTTACAATAAAATATAGTTTTTTTTTTTTTTTTTTTTTTTTTTTACTTAAGGTAATCTGCAATTGCATGCTGACAAACTTAAAAAAAAAAAAAAACTGCCGATGAGGGGTGAGTTTGTTTGGGGAATGCAACCGAACAGCAGACCATATAAGAATATGCAACAAAAGAGTGTGGTTTTTATTGTACGAATAAAAATGTGGCGCGAACAGCCATCACTTTTAAATATCTTGTAGATATCTTATAACTATCCTGGAAATATTATCAAATCATCACCAAGTGGGGCACCGCAGGCCTCAATAGCACGTGCTGTTGCCATTCTGCGCTGACGCGGCACACCGAAGCCAATTATTATTATTATTATTATTATTATTATTATTATTATTATTATTATTATTATTATTATTATTATTATTATTATTATTCACACAGTACCTAGATGCTTTCTACAAGTGAACCTTTCCTCAGATATGTTGAACGAAATGCATTTTTGCTGTAATTTTACTTGGCATCGCAGTTCGAAAGGACATATCTTGCACTCTGATTTCAATCGACTCTCCTCTTGAAACCCTTTGGGTTTCCATTGGTGCCGTATCCTTTCAGAATATTATAGTTGGAATTTGTTACCGACCACCTGATTCAACATGTGAATTTGTCAACAGACTAACAGATGTTCTAGAATTTATTCATTTCAAGTATCCACATTTACCACTTATATTGGCAGGTGATTTTAATTATCCTGGGATCGATTGGTCCAACCTCCAAGTACGTAATACTTGCTCACGTGTAGAAGAGTGTTTAAGTTTTATAAATCTCTTAGATTCATTTTCAATGAAACAATTGGTAAATGATCCCACACGCGGAGATGCAGTACTGGACCTCTGTTTGTGCCACTCACCCCGAAAACATGTCTGTACGCGTGCTGGATGAAATTAGCGACCATAGAATTGTTTATTTCTGCTATAAGATATCGGATGCTACGAGAGTGAAGCTAAAAAAGTGATATATGACTACTCTAAGGCAAATTATAGTGATATTGCGGTAACACTGTCAGACTTTTTGATTCAGTATGAAAGCACCTTCCATACACGCTCTGTTGAAGAAAACTGGGTTTCAATAAAAAACAAACTAATCTATATACGTGAAGCTTTTGTTCCTAAGTTAATCATTAACCCAAGTGAGGGTTGTCCCTGGTTTTCACGAAGCGTAAAGCGCTTGATCTCCAAAAAGAAGAGACTTTTCAGAAAGGCCAGTTCTTCAAATTCAGACCGTGACTGGCAGTCGTACGAAGATTGTGCGCGCTTATGCAAAAATGAGATAAGAAAGGCAAAGAATAGTTTTTTCAACGACGATTTATCTAGCATACTAAAAACAAATCCAAAGAACTTCTGGCATGTCGTAAACCCCAAAGAAAAAAATACATTTCCTTTACTTCAAGAAGGTGACGTAAAGCTTTTTGCATCCGAGTCCGCTTTTAAACTCAACACGTTTTTTGGCGAAGTGTTTACCGACGAGCTCCCTTTATCTGACCGCCATGTTACACCTACAATCGTCATTCCAGAAATGGACGATGTGCAAATCAATATTGATGGTGTTATCAGTGCCATTAACCGCTTGCCGACAAAATCCAGCCCGGGTCCTGATGGTGTATGCTCGAAGCTACTTAAACTAACAAAGGATGCATCAGGTGCCGTGCTTGCCGGCTTATTCCAGCAATCGCTTAATACTGGCCACATTCCGAACGAATGGAAATCAGCAAATGTCGTGCCGATTTATAAATCTGGTAATCGGAATTGCCCAACAAATTATAGACCAATTTCATTGACCTCTGTTCCTTGTAAACTTTTAGAACATATAATATATTCATCTGTCATGAAACACTTAGTCTCAAACAACCTGCTATTTCCAAATCAGCACGGCTTTCAACGTGGTCTTTCGTGTGAAACCCAACTGTTTGAACTGGTAACGGATTTGCATACCTGTATTCACTCATCCTCACAAATCGACGCTATTTTTATAGACTTTTCGAAGGCCTTTGATCGTGTACCACGCAGTCGTCTGATAAAAAAACTACAATATCTCAAAATTAATGATAAGGTAATTACATGGATTCGTTAGTTTTTGCACGATAGAAAACAATCAGTACTTGCAAATGACATCACCTCACCACCTATACATGTCAAATCTGGTGTCCCTCAAGGATCCGTTATTGGACCACTTTTGTTTTTAATTTATATAAATGACCTCCCCAACAACATTTCTTCAAAGATTCGCCTATTTGCAGACGACTGTGTGGTATACCGTCAAATATATTGTCAAAGCGACTGCCTGGCCCTTCAAAGTGATTTGGATATCATACTTTCATGGTGTGACACGTGGCAAATGCAGATAAATATAGATAAAACAAAAATAATGACATTTACCAATCGTCGCTCATCTTTTCAATACGACTACAAAGTTATAGATTCAAAATTGGATAAAGTATCCACATATAAATATTTAGGAGTCCACTTAACTTCCAACCTCTCCTGGAACACTCATCTAGATTATATCCTTAGGAGGGCTAACCAGTCACTTGGTTTCTTAAGAAGGCATTTATATATGGCAACAGCAGAAACGAAGCTACTTGCATACTCTACCCTCATTAGGCCAAAGTTGGAATATGCAGCTATAATTTGGAACCCGCATCAAAAATATTTAATTAATAATTTAGAATCATTACAAAACAGGGCCACCAGGTTTATACTAAAAACGTATTCACCTATAAGCGTCAGTCAACTTAAGAGTTCACTTGGTTTATTGACTCTCCACCAGCGAAGATACCTCGCAAGGTTATCCCATTTTCATAAACTCTATCATAGGTCCTCAGATTTCCGTCAAAACAACATTCTCCCACCGGCTCACATTTCCCCTCGTCATGATCATTGTTACAAAGTTCATATTCCATTTGCAAGAACTAATCTGTTCAAATACTCCCCGTTCGTACAAGCGGCGACTGAATGGAATGAGTTGGCAGGCGAAATTGCGACGGTCACTGATCATGATACATTTATGTTGTTATTGCGTGAAACTTTAGGGTGAATGAATCATATATTGCCCTGTATGTTTGTTACTCGCTCGCTGGGTCTATTGCTTTTTTTCTAGCACGTCGACTGCCTCCAATGATGTGAGTGCGTGTGTGGCTTTTTTTTTATGTAATGTCTTCCCTTCATGGTTCTGTTTAGCGTGACACGATGTCTTCTATTTTTTCTTGTAAAATATTGTATGATTATGTAAAAGTTTATACGACACCCCCCTCTATGTAATGCTCCTTTGGAGCCTTTAGATGTATGTAAATAAATAAATAAATAAATAAACACCTCTCTGTCTTGAAATATCTAGACAAAGATGTTACGAAGAACTAAATCGTTACAAAATATTTATACTTAGGCTAGTAGAGTCTTCAAGAGTAAAAACGGGACGCTTTCGACGAGGCAGCTTTTGGAGGCTGTGCGGCACTCGTCTATGCCTCACGCACATTGCTTGTGTGAGAAAAAAAAAGGGATCATTTATTTAATCGTCACTTAAAATAGAATCCCTCTGAAAAACGAGTGCTCCAACGGATAAGCTTCCTGGGCGATTTCATCTTTCATTTTGTGGGAAACTGTATATTCGATGCTCGAAAGGTGCCTCAAAGTCACCGATTCTCAGGTACTTACGTGTTTCACAACACTCTTCGCACTTAAAATGTATCACATTAACTATTTTCTTCTGTGCACCACATTCACACATTTTGCTACTTCTGAGTTTGCACAAATTAACAAATCATCGGACTGTCCACCTTTTGTGGTCAATTTAAAGTTTGTTTATGACACACCTTACATTTTGGATGCATATTTCGTCTCTCTCGGGCATATGGGTATCTGACTTGTAAACAAAATTGTTGCAGGCATGAGTGGAAGAATCGGAGGAATTTGTCTGACGGGAGCGAAAGTCGCTGCAGTGACAGATGACGGCATGTACAGCGGAGTCAGGGACGCTGCTGTTCAGCTATCGCTTCTGTAAGTTCATTAATTACGCACAGGAACTATAGCGTTCAAAGGAATAATATATATATATATATATATATATATATATATATATATATATATATATATATATATATATATATAATTAGTTAAACAGGTTGCACAGTGCACACGTAGGCTTTGAAGTTGATATCATAACACGAAAGATTATAAAAACAATTGTCAACGTATTGATCCTTTCTACTTGCAAAATCAGAATTACTCAGAATGTTTCTCATATCAGTAAAACGGCCGTTAAATCTTGTGTGAAAGTTTCTCGCTACATTCAGTGTGCGAATAACCTGGCTTTGTTACGTGCACACAGGTTTTACAATATATTCTGCGTAAAAAAATCTGGTTCAGCTGCTTTCCAATTTTTTATTTTACAAAAAATATCGTTAGCATAATAATCCGGAACCTTTTCGTGCATTTCTCTTGCCTTGAAACGGTGGACCATAGAGGCATACGTTCCTGGTACCGATGGGCCCAGATTGCCGGCGATGCTTTGATAGAAACACAAAAGAGCAAAATATAAGGTGCAAGGCCGGAACTTAGCCGTTTTCATTTTTATTTTGCAAGAAAACACCCACGTTGTGTGCTGCACCAAGAAAAACTAAAGCTGAACAACACTGGAAAAACACCCACGTGCCGGGTCAAAATGGATACCCCTAACCTATTATATACGAATTTTCCGGCTACGGTCCGCATACCGTGCATAGTCCGCAAAAACAAATTTTGGGGTCAAAAACAAAAGTTTTCGCTTAGAGAGTCCGCACCCGGTGCATAGCCAGCACACTGTGTATAGTCCGGCCTTGGTGCCTAGTCCGAAAGTAAAAATGATCATACATAGCATACAGTGACGAATGCCTGCTGTTTTAGCTCACAACAAATCATGTATTATAAATAAATCCACATTAATATGCTCCGTCATCCTTAAAATTCTTCACTTCTTGTCACAGTAGATGATTTAGAAAGAAAAAAGAAAAAAAATCCTTGTATAGTCAGGACGTGCAGATAGTCTGCATCGGGTAAACTTTACGCTTTTAAAATGTATAGGCACCCAGCAGATCGAACTCTGTGCCGATACTCACGCCTCTCGCGGCGGCGGCTCGCGTAATCATCGGGAAGCGGCCTCGGCAGTCGCAGCTCGACTGCGGTGGTACACGGGTGGGTATTGCAAGTTGGTCCGAATTAAGTTACGGGCGAAAGGTGCTGCAGCCGGATGGCCCCGGTACCGGCGGGGCCTCAAACACGAAGTGGTGAAAAAAGAATAAAAATAAATTTTGTCTACAAAATTTGAACATAACAAAATATTTTTTTATTATACTCAAAGGGCCCATGAAACGAATTTTTGTCTGCGATAAGTGAATCTAGATTGGCATTTTACTTATAGCATATCGTTTAGTGGGCCAAAAGGAAGAAGGTAGAATGTCAAAGGCCTGATTTTTCGTGCGAAAATTTGAAAACGCAGTGGAATATTCTGTGCCTCCTTCCCTTCGTAAGCTCTCTGATTTTTCACTGTGATACATCGCGGTAGCCAAAGCGCGTCACCGGGCCCAAACGCACGTCGCACGACACCGGACCTCGCTTATTCCCTTTACCCCTAAGCTGACCGTGCGGTGGAAGCTATGCGCTTGATGGACCAATCAGCCGCCTCCTTTTATCTCCTGACCCCATTCTCTGCGCGTAGGTATGCGCTAGAGAGCGCGATCACGTGGCAAAAGTGTGGCTGTCCCAACGAGCACGTAGCTTCCACAGCAGTGTCAGCTTAGGGGTGAGCGAAGTGGGGGAAGCAATTTTTGTCCGAATTTTGAGCGACGGGCGAATCTTCAATACTTTGTCTTATCCTACGATGGAGTTAAAGGCCAAGGCCACGGGCCACCAGGTCCAATCACGTTCCACGGTATACTATGACGCGTTTAACATTGATTAGGGGCAGACGATTAATGCTCGAATCCAAAAGCGCCGCATTATTTCTATAGCTTCGACGCTACAAAGAGCCTATATGTCGTGGCTTTCTCTGCGATGTAAAATTCTTGAGTTACTCAGTGCTGTTCGATTCGAACCACTGTCCACCCGTCCCGCATCAGTGATCCGAGACGCGGGCACCGATACGGTCATCGAAGCGAAATACAGCACAATCTCTTAGCGACTCGTGATTGGATCTGGCGGTCCTTAGCTTTTGTCTTTAGTCTATCGCAGGGTGAGACAAAGTATAAGGGGAGAATGGGTGTGCCCGGGTACACAAACGAGGGTCCGAGCAAGAGGGATCAGAGAACACCCCCCCCCCCCCCCTTTCTTTTTTCGCCTTCTTGAACTGTTTCGTACAATGGGCGATTTGTAAGTTCAGAAAAAAAGCTAAACAGGAAAAAGTTGAAACATTGTTTCGTGACCCCTTTAGAGGTCATCTGGCACGCCGAAAAAATATATATTGTTTTTTTATGCTAGGTGTTAAAACGGTGTATCAGGACAAAATTTTTTTTTTTTCGTTTTGGAGTTGCGTAGTTTTTTTATAAAAATAGAAATACGAAGCCGAATTCAAAGTGCCCACCAGTGCATGGCCTTCGAGATCCCGAAGCGCGCGAACGGTTCTCCGGCCGTCCCGTTCCTGCGGGGAGAGCGTAATGAGAAAAAGAGAAGGAGGCGGCGTTTCTCCACGGGGAGTTGCTTTCAACCCAGCAATCGTATTTGCCGTTTCAGTAATTTCAGCGAGGGAGAAGAGTCCAAGAAAAAGTATTGTTATGCGGAGGTACTGCAGCTTCTACTTACAGATTTTTGTGTCTGGTCGTAGAACGGTGAACAGCAGCTCTGGGGATGTGCATAGGCAAGTTTTGATGCTCATTCAGATTGAGATAGTCATCTGGACACGTTGCGGCTAGCGCTGCAAGTGTGCCTTTTGATTTTTTTTATGGGAATATGGGAATTCCTAATTTTTTATGTACGGGGATAATTCTTTTCTGGAGTTTGATACGTGCTACAGGTTGCAGTAAAATATATCTTTTCTTTCTTTGTTAACTGACAAAAATAAAAGGAATTGGAGATGTTGGCATGCCCTTCACGGCAGCCAACATCTCCAATTCCTTTTACTTTTGTCATTTAATAAAGAAAGAAAAGACACATTTGACTGCAACCTGTAGCACGAACCAAACTCCAGAAAAGAATTAGCCCCGTACATAAAAAATTAGGAATTCCCTAAAAAAATCAATCTGCAATTATTATTACTTTTGCTGCAGGTTTTTTGGCGTAGTTTTTAATGCCTGAGCACGAGGTATTGTCCATCTTTTAATATTTTAGATATTTATTACGCAACTTTCGCCTGTCATATTGCGGTGTTTGCTTCTGCTAGAAGTACCTTTAAGCCGATGTCACACTGTTTATACATTATGCAAAAGACAGTCTGCAGATATCAGTCACAACAATATTCGTGCTTCAAATGCCGTGTGCCAGGTGTCTCCTTGAATTCGTTGCGGTGCGGCATTCGAAGCTCTGATCTCGTGGTGACTCGCGTTTGAATCTGTTTGCAGACTGTCTTTAGTGTGGTGTGTAAGCAGTGTGACCCCGGCCTTGGGGGAAAATTATGGCGGTGAGCTACGACCACCTCGCGATGATTTCTCTATTTGTTTACAGTGGTGTTGTTAAGGGCTAGTTTCGCCCGTATTGTGTCCGTGCGCAAACAAATCTCGGCACAAAACTCTGGACACCTTCGCTTCAAAACTCTGGACATCTATTAGCGACGGCGGCAACATTTACAGCCTTTCCCCTCTGGCTTGCCGACTTGCGGCCGGCAATTACTTCATTCCCACCATAGTACAGCTTCGCTGGTCTTCCTTCTTGGAAGACCAGCGGAAAGTGGAAAGGCTGAAAGTTTTTTTTATAAACTTCGTGATAATTGAAGGCACTGAATGAAAAGGTGGGGCGTTATCTTGTAAACGTCTAGTTTTTGGCACATGTAGCACAGACCACCCTACCCGTTATGCACTTTGTTATGCCACTTAATTGATATGCAAACAAACAATGGGATTTCAAGAAAAAGAACTCTGGTTTATTTATAAATTCAAACCATGTTCCAGCCTGGAAATGGAGTCCATTTTTGCCCGTTTTAAGTTTCTCGTGCCATAGAGCCTCATGTATTCGAAAACACCGTCGGCCACATTTTGCCATTTAAATATTCAGAAAAATGAATAGCTTTTGATTAAGGTAACGGATCGCGCTGAAAATTCTGCATCTGGTTGCGACCTCTATTGCTACCTTTAGGAGGAGAATGAGCGTTTGGGCGATGACTAGTTTATTTTTGCGGTAAAAAAACCTGTAAATTTTCATTTCTGACGTATATATCCATAAGGGAAAATATTGTTTGAATATATATATATATATATAGATTGCCGTATATATATATATATATATATATATATATATATATATATATATATATATATATATATATATACGGCAGCACTCCGCGAACGCATCACTCTTCAGCAGTCCGGGATCCAAGACATGTGACGGTACATAAGCCTTGCAAGTGCTTTTATGGTGAGTGAAAAAATGTTTTGCGAACGAGTGTTGGTATATATTTATACTAACACGTGTCATTTGTTACACTATGTACGCCAACTCGTGAGCAGCGATTACTTTGCGAAGAAAGGGGGTTATCCTCGATAAAGTCTTCATTCCGGGTGAACAGCTGGGACGTTGTACTGTTTTTTTTTTTTTGTTCGCAGTGCGCCGACAGTATGCCGACAGCACGGCCACTCGATCCCTTGGAGCTCTGATTGAGTGGCCGTGCCGACAGCATCGAGCTTTTATACATCCCCGGTGGCCAGCAATTCAACGGTGACGAGAAGCTTAGCTCCTCGTCACCGGTGGATCGGTTGGGCAAAAGGAAAAGGGGGCAAACAGTCGAGATTAGCAGGAATCGCAGAAACGTGCGTCACAAGGAACAAAAACGAGACTACAGCAACGGCGTTGCCAGACTGGAAGGCACGCGGGAAAGT